AAAAAAAAATTTATATTAAAGTAAAAAAAAAAAAAATTAAGCCACTATTGATAAGTATTTGTGCTATCTGTACTATCAAGCACAAACATATTACTCCATTACTCCTTTCCTCTTTTTAGTGTCAGATGACAGAGAAAACAGGTTGAAGAGAGTATGAAGATGGACATTCAAATTACAAATCCAAACAATTCTTATTTATCATCAGTCATAAAAGGGGAGAGAGCGTAAAGTTTAAAAGAGAGCATTGCTCTAGACACTATCAATATTATAATACTGGGAACCCAGAAGCCTGATTTCAGGATTTTTTTTTAAAATAAGACACTTTTAAAATATGGAGTGAACAGGAGAATGAAGGGCATTTACATTTTTGCAATTCCTCCTAGGCCTTTAAGGGAAGAAGGAGAAATGTTTCAACCAGGGTATTAGTGTCAGGAGTAATCTTGGCATTCCCAAGACTGAGTTTTTTTTTTACTAGGGTTCCATTTAGAATTATCTGATGTGCCCAAGGCACTTGTGTCCAGACCACTGAAGTTATAAAACTTTAAGCTAGAATTTGCCATGAAGACCTAGGTCTCCACAAGAGAAACAGAATTCAAAGAATGCTTGAAACAACTGGACCTATCAATCCATCAAGGAATATCTGAACAACACGTACTACATCTCTAATACAGAAATAAGGCTCAGGTTGAAATGCGTTTTAGGAGTCTTGATACATAGATATCATAGTCCTATTAAATAGAATTAATAGTTAAATAGAATGTAGACCCCAGAAAATATTTCATGAAAGAGAAATTACATTTCCACTAGGAAATATGTTCAAAATACATGTTATGTCTCTTTTAACAGGGAAGGAAACCAAAACTTGAGGACAAACCAAAAGCAAAGCACCAGCATGTTGTCCAGATTATGTGTTTCTCATTAACAATGTCATTGTTACAAGGTTTCTTCAGCTATGACCTTCATTTTTTTTAATTTCTTTAAACTTTTAAAACATTAACCAAAATGTCTTTAAACTCTTTGCTCATCATCTTCATATTCCCTTTCTGACTTCTAAAACAATTTCAATTCTGAGCAGACTTTAAAAAAATATTCTCTATTTCAAAGATTATGAAAAAAAAAACAAAAACCAACAGTATTCAAGGACATTTCCTTTGTCAAGTAGCATGTCAAGTAGCATAAATTAACCTCTTTAAGAATGCACAGTGAAATGATTCCAAGTATTGTAGGTTTTGATTCAATACTTCCAAAATACTAACAACAATGTAAACCAGTGGGACTTCAATAAAATATTAAACAAAAAACACATATGCTGTGAACACTGATTAGACACCTTAGGCTTCCGAAGCTGACAACAAACAATCCTCAAGTTGTTGCCTTCCACTGACAATCAGGCTAGGCCAATTCAGGATTACAATATTAAAAAAAAAAAATCAAAATAGTTTAATAATTCAAGAAGTTCATTTAAACTATGAGTTATTAGCATGGAAACGAATACTCAAAAATAGAAACTATATTGTAAAATAAAATAAAATCTGCCATCATAGGGCATGTCTCAAACAGCAGCTCTCAAACTTTTCTTGTACAAGTATTAAATGTTTGGAAAATGGCCTACAGAGGGCCTAGAAACCAGGACTACTTTACCTTCATACTAACATGTCTACTTTTGTCTCTTCCCTTTGCCTCCCCTCTAGCTCTGCATCACCTAAATTGATCCAAACATACACTTGCCCCTTGTTATAGAAAAAGGAATAAAAACCATCTTGCTGCTGTTGGTACCTGTTTCTCTTTGCTGTCATGCTGTCACTCTTTCCATCATAAAGTAAAGTTTTAAAGGGAGTTAAGTTCAGTGATATGAATGACTTATGCCTGTCGCTATTATGTTTGTTGTGCATTCCTTTAGTTCTCACATCCAAATAAAAAATATCAAGGTATCAAATATAGCTGCTAGATAATTTTTTTTAATTGAAATGAAAAAGAGGGGGGATTCCTGCCTTTCCTGTCAATCACACCTGCCTGAACAATGAGTTGGTGTGTTCCTGAGTTAGTGAACTAGTGATTTATTTTCCCAAACTATCCATTTCAACTTATAACCTTCCTTTCTAAGCTTTGAAGACCCCTGGAACTATGCACACCTACAATTAAAAGCCCTGTGACTTTCTCCTAAGACTTACTGGAGTTCATTTCAGTAACATACTAAATACAGTCATTTTTTCCCACATTTTAAAAACTATGATATATTCAAAATATATTATTTTGCTAAAAATACTTTTCATGGCACTGCAAGCAGGTAACACTGCCTAGAAATGTTTAGCAATTCAGAACTTGAGGAGAAATAACCACATATATCATAAATAGCTGAATTCTAAGCCAGAATTAAAATAACTGAAAACTGAAATAATTTTTGAGTAGGAGTAAAATTCATCATTTAAAAGAATTGAATACTGTTTCCCATCAAAACCAACAATTTTGAAAATGACAAAAGACCATGTCTTGGACATGGGAAAACAGAAGAAGCCAGGAATTGTCTAAACATTAGTCTCTTACCAGAAACGGACTCCAGCAAATGCAGGATACACACATGATAGCCAGGAGCTGGATGACCATTTCCAAATGATGAGACCTGCCTTGTCTGTGCTGCTGACTTTTAAATTTAACTCTTAAAAGTGTAATTCCTGTGATGGCATTGCACAAAAACGAAACACCCAGGGATAAGAGCCCCAGAAAAGAAAAAAGCAGAAGATAAAATCTATCTTCCCAGTCTTTGATGTGTTCTGTTTTGTAGAAACACCAGGTCCTCGATGCTTGAATTTTATAGTCTCGATGCCCAAGGATGGGCAGCAGAGCTATGAAAACAGCAAACAAGCACACACCACTCAACATCATTTTCACATGTTTAGACGTAATTTTCGTAGAATGAAATATCGGTTTGGTTACTCCAATACATCGCTCAATGGCCATCACACTGCCTAGAAAAAGTGGGCACAAACCAGAGAAAACCATGGAGATACCAAAAATACTGCAAAGGATGTTTGATTGGTCAAAGCGGATCCAGTCTTTATCAGAAGCATATACAAACACTGCTATAGCTCCATTGATGAGGTGGCCAAAGAAGTCTGTGATTACCAGGCCACTAGCCAAAAGCAAAAATGATGCCTTGGACTTCTGTCTAAATCTCTGATATGCCTTCACGAGAATAGCAATGGCAAGGCTGTTTGACAAGATTCCCACAGTCATGAAGATTACTGAAAAAAATACAGAAAGCCGGTTTTCAGTCTGGCAGGTTGTATTTGAAAGTAGCCCAGCTGCAGGAGACACTGGCTGTTTGGAATTGTTCATGGACATTGTTGTGGAGATAAAGCCAATCACTCAGGTCATCTCTCTCTCAAAAGATTGCAGACTTGCAGTCCGGATATCTGTGGCATAAAGACAGAGGAATTATGAGCGCTGCATAAACTGCTCATCTGGCATTTAAGGCTGAAATGCCCCAGCACCCTGTGGTGGGAATCAGATCTATTTGGCCTATCATAAGCAAGGTTGCATCATACTGAAAACAGAGCACATCTGCTGTGGTTCCACGTTTCATTTTGATGGTAAAGCCGCTGCCAAAAGGAAGACCCCTTGGTTAACTCTATGGATCCTCTGTAAATATACACCTCCTTAATCTCCTCCTGACACTTCAATGACACCCTAAAGCTTTCAAATTTTATAAAATCACTAATATGATTAGACTTAAGCCCAATAAAATGTCTTAAGCATAACAGTCCCTTTAATAACTAAATGACCTTTTAAAGCTTCTGCTTTTTTTTTTTTTTTTTTTTTTTTTTGTATACAGACTTTGACCACTGATCATTCCTTAGGTAAACTTCTTGTTTGTCAAGAAGGAAAGCACAATCCTCTCTAAACTTGGGAAGTGGCAAAGTAGACCAACAAGCCCACTGATGTTAAATGAGGTCTCTCTGAGTAAGCTCAAAAACTACCTGATTTAGATCAAATGACAGCAGACGGCACACATCAGTGACTCACGGAAGCAGAGTGGTGAATCTCTGGGAAGGTTTTCTGTTCTACCTACCAGCAGTGCTGAAACCCTGGCCTGTGAGTGAGTAGGCTGCAGACGGTGCTGTCTATGCACATCTGCTTAGAAGCCCTAGATTACAGCCTCAGGGCTGCAGCATCCAGTGGAAGTATTTGTCCCTTGTTCTAGTGTGTTGAAGCCTGAGTCACAGACACTGAAGAACCAGAACTACAGCCACCCAGTCCCGAGCTAATTCGATTGGCGTTTCCCAAGCAGCTTTCCGGGAGGCTGAGGATTCTGGAGCCACCCTTTCCTGGGACGGGTCTCAGAAGCCCCCCCACTCCCACACCCCGCCCTCCAGCTCCGGCCCCAAGTTGTCCCAAGGGTGGCCACGTCCTCCAAGTCTTACGCACAACTCCACTTTCCCTGGTTACTACCCCCCTCCCACACAGCCCAGCTTGCAACATCCTGCCCAAATCTTCTAACTTGCTAAAACTTTGTTCAACTGCGTAAAAGCCAGAGGGGCCAGTTTCCTTCGCACCCTGGGGGGCGCTGAAGTCCAGCGTTGTCTCGGATAACTATTCAATAGTTGAATAGTTGCTGTCATGGGAGCAGGGATCTTTCCCTTAGCCAGTTTCCCTCTGCTGAGAGACCGTTTGTACCGGGTCCCCAAAGAGCTCAGCTCAGAATCGGGACCAATCAAGCCGAACACTCTTTTCTGAGGGTCTCTCCAACTTGTTGCCAAGCGCAGACTATGGTGTCCTTTACCTGGGATGCCTGCAACTGCCACCGGAGTTCTGGGCTGGAGTGGTTAAACAAACTCATCCAGCGGCTGACCCCCGTAAGATACCCCGGGTTGGAAGGGCAGTTACCTTGGCATCCCTAGCCACCCGCAGAATTCGCTGCACAACAGAAGAGTGAGCCGGCACCTGGCGCGCCATTGCGAGTCCAGCTCTAGCTCCACCACTGCAGCTTCAGGTTCCTCGCGTGCAGTGTTTCACCTCCTATTCCGGTCTGGTTAGGTCGCCGGTCTCCCTCTGCGCGCGACCGGAGAGCTGAACCTGCCAGGCGCGCCTCGCTCTTCCAATCCCTCAGAAGCTAGGGGCCGCCTGCAGCTTGGGAGGGATGGAGCTTGTGGGTGACCTCAACCCTTTTCTCTTCTCTCTCCTCTCCGCCCCCTTTTCCCTGAGCCCACAGTAGAACCTGGAAAGACTAGGACAAAGTGCTCGCGTGCTCTGTCCCCAGTAGCATAGGAAATCACCCTTTCAGCAGTTTGACAACCACTTAGAGGAAAAGTTGCTTTTTTAAAATTCATTTTTGTCGCGGAGGACTGGTGGGGCACTGGTGGGGGGCAGGATGAGATAATGCACATTCGGAAAAGTTTGAACTTAAAACTCCCAGAGCAAATACAAAGATGTAAACCTACTTACCTCAATAAACATCATTTGGAAAAAATAAACCTACTTTCCAGCTAAAGGCGCCATCTCTGTGGTTGCAAAGTAGCAGCTGGAGAGCTGAGGAAACCTAGACTATTGTCCTGACAGCGTGTTGGATAATCAGATGGTAGTTTGCCGATTTAATTCATGTCAAATCCAACTGAAAAGTGGTAAAGAAAAGATTGCACAGCCCACATCGCCAGCGAGGCAAAAACAAATACTCAAGGCACATGTTGTAAATGAAAACAGTCACTGCCTTAGGGTTCATTGTCATTTAGAGGACTGAACTGTTTATAGCTTTCTAAGGAATGTGAGAAGGAAAGGAATGAGACACATTCTTGAAGGACACCTGCAGATATGGGATCAGCAACCTTTTAATGAATTTTAAAAGCCCAATGGTAAGAATTTTTACTGATGCTTCCCCCAAAGAAATGTGTACTCCTGATACATTTTATGGAAATCATTTATGATCAAGAGTGTCTTCATTTGTAATTATCATTTGAGACATTTTTATACTGTAACCATGTTTTTTAATTTAATTTTCATCCATACCTGTTGTTTCATTTTTTCCAGCTAAACACTAGGAACATGTTTATCTTTTTATTTTAGTGAAACATTTTTACCATCTATGTGAAAGCCAGTGCTACACAGAAATAACTTCTTTTCTCCATTCTAAATATAAAGGTCCTCTAAATTCCTAGACTTGAAAAGGATCATAAAATGTTAGAGTAAGATAAAACAAAGTAGCCATTAACTATAGCAATGAAGGGTGGTGCAGTTTTTCACTGTGGTAGATATGAAGGGTTTGTTTTCTGCTTTGTTTTTGGACGGTATGGTCATAATTTGTAAAATTTACTTGGGTAATTTCAAGAAATTGAAAATTTTTGCTTAATCAAATATTTTCTTTAGTAGAAAATTTTACATCTGGATGGTCACTATCTAAATAAAAACTCTAATAAAGCAAAGTTTTTACTATTACTATTGATTAAGAATTCTTTCCCATTGAGTTGAATTCTTACAGAAGTCTTTTTCAACTCTTCATCTTAAGTTAGGATTGTGCTTGTTCACTTAGCAAATGTTGTATTCAAATGTGATTCTAAGTGCTACAGTCACATGTCCAGTTTATAGTTCCAGATCTTGGAAACTCTCCAGCTCTCACTGAAACACTTTACTAACATCAGCTGTTCTATCTACAGGGTTAAGAAAATTAAAAAAAAAAAAAAAAAACCCTCATTAATGCAATGTCACATCACAAGATTATGTAATATATTCAAAATAGTATTCATTTATTTTTCAGCACACTAAACAAATACATTTTTTTAAAAACTATCTGCTTTGCATGTATTCTTAGAGTTCCTGTTTTAGAATCCATTCCTTAATCAAGATACACTTTACCTAAGTATTAATAATAAGTCTAAAATACCTATCACTTATCAAGGTAAAAAATATTAGTAAGTTATTGTTTGACAGAATAAACAACTACATTTTATTACTGGGGTATAAACGACATACACACACACACACCTATATATATATAATATATATACTATATATATATATTATATATATACACACATACATACATACATATATATACACACATACATATACATATATACATACATACTATTAGTTTCAGATGTACAACATTTGTATATACAACATTTGTATATACAACATTTGTATATACAACATTTGTATATTCAGAGTCAACATTTGTATATATAGCAAAATGTTCAGAACAACAGTCTAGTTAATAGCCATCACCAGACATAACTTTTTTTTCTTTTTTTTTTTTTAAAGATTTATTTATTCATACAGAACTGGGGTACAGGCCAGAGATGCGGAGGGTGAGAGGATTCACCAGGAACAGAGTGGGGAGCAGAACAGGCAGATCGACGAAGTACACTGCTGAGGGGAGCAGCGGGCGGGCCAGGAGAGGTCTGCCTCGCCATGTGGATCTCCTCCGGGGCAGGCAGGCGGGGATCGAACTCGTGTGGAATTGGCTCAAGCCTCTTAGTGCAGTGCTTTAACCGCTGCGCCACCAGGGAGGGCCCAACTTTTTTTTCTTATAAGGAACTTTTAAGATCTATTCTCTCATGCAACTTCCTAATAAACAACATAAAAATTACGCATAGTCACTGTTTTATAACATATCTTTATGACATTAATATTTTATAACTGGAAGTTTATCTATTTTACCTAACTAATCCTACCACTTGCCTTTCACCACCAATCTGTTCTCAGTATCTATGAGCATGGGTTTAAAGTGGTTTTGTTTGTTTTGCTTTAGATTCCACATATGTTAGTCCATATATTAGTCTTCCTCTGACTGATTTTACTCAGCATCATGTCCATGCTAATGCAAATGGCAGAATTTCATTCCTTTTTGGCTGAATAGTACTTCGATGCACTTATACCACATTTTCTTTAGCCAGTCACCCATCAGTGAACACTTAGTTTGCTTTCATTATCTTGACTATTATCTTGACTATTGTAAATAATGCTGCAATGAAATGGGAGTGCATAGATTTTTTTTAGAACTTAACTTACATCTTTTATTAATCTTTTTAAGACTTCGTCCACTATATATATAATGTACATAATATTATATATATAATATATTTATATATATATATAACATTATTTTTTTTCATCTCAGTTGTAATCCTGATGGATGTCCCATGATCAAGTCACCCATAGGCTATCACCATATTTGAGTTAGTTTTTGTTTTCTATAGAAAAACACTCAAAAGTGGAATGGCAGACACACATAAAAACTAACATTCAAGTACTTACTACCCCATTTAAGGACTGCATTAGTTTCCTAGAGTTACTGTATAAAGAATCACTGACTGGGTGACTTAAGTGTACCCTGCCTTATAGTATACTCCCCAAGAAAAGGTATTGTCAGGGTTGGTCTCTACCGAACACTGTGAGGAAATCTGCTCCATGTTCCTTTTCCAGCTCCTGGTAACTTACTGGCAATATTTAGCTTGCCTTGTTTGTAAATGCATTACTCCAGTCTCTGCCTTCATCTTCACCTATTAGTCTCCTTTTGCATCTGCCTGCACTTGGTCATTTCCTTGTAAGAATCCTAGTCACACTGGATTAAGGCTCACCCTATTACAGTATATGTACTGATCTAAATAATATCTGCAACAATCCTATTTCCAAATAAAATTGCATTCTGAGGACACTGACATATCTTATCTCATGGGTGGGGAAGGGAGCAATTTAATACATTATAAGGACTATATTAGGATATTATTAACATTGTTACAGCTGTCTTTGTTTCTGCCTCCATTTCATTCTTCTGCATAACTCCCCGAGAAATAAGAGATAACGACTATACTGAATTGCTTGCATCATTCTCTTATTTTAATGACTTATCACATAAACATGGACATGAATTAAACATTATTTAATTTTCCTTGTTTTGTAAAAATTTTCTACAGTTTGCTTTTTCAAGTAAGATTATTAGATGAATACATATTACTGTATACAGTAGCAGCTTATTCATTTGTAAACTTCTAGAATACCTCAGATTTATAGATCCAAATTTTAAAAATATTATTCTGTCAACCTCTAGGGTTATTTCCAATTTTATTGCTTAGTAATTATTCTCCTCTGTATAGACTTTTTGTGTAGTAGTTTTTCTTGATAATAGAGATGGATGCATATATCCTGTATAAAATTAGTGGGTTATAGGGTATGAGGCTGTTCAACATTTCAAGATAAAGCAAAAAATGTAGTACCAATTCACTCCCTCATACTGCCTAAGAATTTCTCCTCAGTAACATCTGGAAACAGTGCTTAAAATCATCTAGTTTTCTTAACTACCACCAATAAGATGGGTGTAAAGTGATGTTACATAATGGATATAAATTATATTTCCCTTCGCACTCATGGTTCTTGTTTTATCGAATACTTGTTTGTTTCTTGTCTGATTTTTTTATTGAGTTGCTTGTGTTCTTATTAATGCTTTATGTGTTCTAGAAACTAAGCCTCTATCAGTTATATATTTTGTAAAGATCTTTTTTCCAAATCACAGCTTGCATTTTCATTTTCTTTATGCCATCATTTTTACAAATAGCTTTTAATTTTAATGTGATGAAATTTATAACATTTAACTTTTCTGTTGTATTTCAGCATTTTTCTGTCACATTTTACAGAAGATTTTTTTAATATATTTTCTAAACATTTTAAATTTCTGCCTTCCACACTTAAGTCTTGAACATTCAGATAATAATTTTTTACTTAAAAAATGTGAGGGAGGAAATCCAGGGTTTTTTCCCCCTCTACTTTGATAATCTGTTTTCATGGTGCCATTATTAAGTAATCCTCTTAAGGACTGAATGCTGCACCCGCCGCAAAGGTACATGTATTGAACTCCTAAACCCTAGATCTTCAAATGTGATCTTCTTTGATGAAGATAACAAATAGGAGTTTAGCAGAGATAATCAAGTTAAAACATGGTCATCAGGGTGGACCATAATCAAATATAACTGGTGTCCTCATGAAAAAGGAATACTTAGAGCAAACACATACAGGGAGGAAGCAATGCAAATGCAAAGAAGACCAATTGCAAGCCAAGGAATGAAGCCTGAAACAGAAC